GTAACTGTAATTTGTTATCAATGTAGCATTAATAATTTAGTAGTGTGTGTCCTTGAAGTATAAATATTTCAATCGATGTTGGCACAATAAATAATAACATGAAAGGATTCTTTAGTTAAAAAATAGTATTTATGCTCGTACTAATTTCTTCTAACAACTTGATTTGATTATAAAACAGTCTAAATAATTACTTTTTTCTTTCTTGGAGATATTATGTGTACATTCTGCTAATCTATAATATAAAAATGAATCGCAAAATATGTTGGTTAGCGCATAACTCCACAATGCCTAGACCAATTTGGCCAATTCTTTTTTTAAATATTCGTTGAAGTCCAAGGATGGTTTTTAAGGCGAGAAAAATTCAAATAATTGCTGGTAAAACCCTAAAATCAGCCCTTTCCAATAGGATAAAACTTGGCATTGAGATTCAATCATAGTTATAGTTAAATAGTGGAATCCGAGATGGGGCGCTGAAGTACATTATTAGCAATTCTTTATATAATTAATTTCTTTAAAATAAAATTGCAAATCTTATTGATAGAATTGATAGAATTATATTTTTACTAAACACTACGGGGACGATGTCAGGGGCAAAAGCTAGTATGTTATAAAATTTTAATTTAGAGATATGAGAAATGTTAATAATGCTTTTTTGCGCCATCTAGATATGAATTATATAATTATAACTACGATAAAATCTCCATATTCACTTTAATCTCTTATTTTATACTCTTGAAGTTAAAATTTTGTTACCAAACTTTACACGATTTTCCACTGGACTAATTTGAATATAGTCTCAACATTTCATCAAAATCGGATAAACCATTTTGGAGTATATAAATTACATACATACATATTTACATTTGTAATTATTTCAAACATTTTTATGTTGTTTTTGAACAACTTTTTCTTTTCTCTTTATGGTTTTAGGATCAAATTTAGTTTTTATATCTCCATTCTACCTTATGTCATTTTTACAGCATTTTTTTTATAGTTATGCGAGTTGGCAAAGTTGTAGGCCGTTCTGTTAACGACAGAATGGTATTTTAGTGGCAAAACCAAATCATACATTTTTCGAGTGCTTTTTCTTCTTTTGGTGAATGATATAAAAGGATAATAAAATTTAGAACAATGGCAGAGAGTGTGGTGCGTTTGCGACCCAAAGTGTCACTTTGCATATTGATCGCGAGTATGCCAGAGGCGTAAATCCACAGGGAGATCTATAACTGCCCTAACACATCATCCACACAAAATATTCCTCATATAATGTTCAGAATTGTTCAAATTTCAACTGATAAATAAAACGTAGCATAAAATGTGCGTATTTTGCATTAAATTTTTATCTTTTTATCGTTATAGTGCTTTTATAGTTTTGTTTTAAACACTATCTCAATTATTCGCAGTTTGTATTTGAAATTGTCCTTTTTATTATTCGGTAATTGTAATTGCACCATTAAAATACACCATTTTTACTACCCGATAGTAATAGAGATATTTTTATGTTGGGATTGCGAGTGAATGTTTATACATTTTGATCTTTTTATCAGGAGAAAAAAAAAGTTGTTATGCTAAGCATACAAGCTGATGCTGCAAAGGGTGGATTGAAGGATAACACCACAACACAAGGGCAACATTTACTGACCTTCATCTGTCACTCACGCACAGTTACTGTTCAACTCATTCATCTTTTCTTATATATGTTTTGGGTTTGCTGTTTTTCTTTTTTTCTGTTTTTGGCTTCTACTGAAAGTATTGATGTTTACTTCAGCTTTCATTCAAACTTTCACTCTTGTTTTCACTTTCTGTCTACATCAATATCATTTATTTCAATATATAGTTTCTTGGGAAGAGAAAAATGATGTTTTGGAGCTTTTTAGAAATTCTAGTCCAATTTCGAATTAATTTTCTTAATAACATAGAAGTTCACAAAAAGACTCAATGCATTTAATAGTTTTTTAAAAATCTATTTTTGAAATATTATATTTTAAGATATCTGTAATTTTGCGAAAAAAGCTATTATTTCGATATTTTTGCTTGTTATTTTTCAGCAACTTAGATGAAAATTAAAATGCATAAGAATATGGAAATCGTTCACAGATTTATTTTCCAATCAATTTCTTTAATTTATAAAAATCAGTACGAATATTTTGGATTTTGCCAAATTATTTGAAATATATTGATAAAAATTAGTGCAAATATTAAGTGCTGAGTATAGATTTAATCCGAATATCCTATAATTATTGCTTTTGAGGTTTACATCAATACCTATATCCACTAACAATGCACTGTTGACGTTATCTCAGCGTAGTATCGAGACGATGCATTGTTGATACTAGTATAACCACCATAATATTCCAATATTAGCCTACCGACATTGAATCGCAACATCACACGAGTCTCATTAAACGTAGGGGCGGGGGCGATATAATTCCATGCTGTCGATGTTGCTTTGATATCAGTACGAAATCGACACATCGGCGTGCGATAACGCGTCAAGTGACAGCCTACATCATCAACGCAACATATTGCACTGTACAGTTAATTAACCACTGCCGCGATAATTACCAGTTAAATTGATATATGAGGCTTTGATTATCGAAATCTATGAAAATCAATAATTATTATTATAGTGGAAAGCTTTTGGAAGTGATTACATCAAGCTAGGATTTTGCTTGGATTTTAGTTTTGGACATGATCCAAAAGCATACATAAACAAATTCATTCAATTTACTTAACTTTTCAATCACAAGTATACTCGAATCATTGCCGATTTGAAAAAATAAATAAAGTGGAATATTTAAAGAACATTTGGCAGAGATATTTGTTGATTTATCGTTAGTTTTTATACGAAAATTTGTTTTTTTGTTATTTTTCCCCGAAATGAATTGCGGTGAATGTTATCTCATCAATAATTTATTATTGACATTGCTGTAGTTGTACAATGTCAACATTTCAAGCGATTCCATTCTTACCCTTCTCTAAACCCCTTTACTAACCACTCTACTCGCTTTTCTTGTTTACTACCAACAGTTGAATCAGTTGCCAAGTCATGAATACATGCACAATCCTTAAACTGTTATCATAGGCTATATCATCGCATGCCTAAAATTTTGGTTTTGTTTTCTTATATTTTTCTTTCAAAATGTTTTGATTAACTGGGTCAAGGAAAGAAAACGACAAAATAAAATCTAATACCGATTATTCCATTATAGGGGAAGGGGGCAAAGTGGGCCCCTAAAGTGGGCCCTGGGGTAAAGTAAAGTGGGCCCCTGAAATTCAGGAGGCTTAAAAAATTGAGGGTCAAAGTGGGCCCCCTAAAATTTTTGATATATAAGATGAAGTTGCAAGAACAACTTATCCACAACAAATTCGAAGTAAGAAATAAAAAAAGAAAATAATATAAGCAAAAAATTGATACAAAGGTAAGAGCCTAATTTTTATGAGTGGGGCCCACTTTGCCCCATATTCTGAATTTTTTATTTTGATAGACACGTCTTATTAATATTGAATACTGAACAAGGATGTAAAAAATAGTGTAACGAGTAAAAAAAAGTAAACAAATTCCCTTTTTTCGCTTTTGGGGCCCACTTTGCCCCACCCTCCCCTACTAGCCATCTTTCTTGGGGTGATGACATATTTAGATGAAAATCAATAGAACCCAGGCTGGTTAACGCGTCAGGCTGCTTCTAAATATGATTAATTAATCAAGGACCTGAATAATATCTTTGTGTCTTCCTTCTACTATTCACTTCCTTGCTTTTCTGCATCTGTAAGATTTACAAACCACAATTGTTTGTATATATTTGTTATTTCCGACACAATCCACCACACAAATTTGTCCTTGTTTGTCCTTGACATCTTTCAGAAATTAGATCACCATCACCACACAAGTTAATTCCGTGTATATTTTTTATAAAGGGACTAGAGGAATTTAATTTCGGCGGAGATGGGTCAGTGATTTCATTAAGGTTGTTTTCTTACCGTCATTCGGGCAAATCCAAAGCACGTTCACCGACCGCGAAGGTTTTATTTTATCTTTGGTGGTTTGAGATGTACGAAAATACCTCAGAGGCATGCCTAATACATAAAAGGTTTGTTTTGACCACGGGAGAAGCTTTGGGTAATGGATTCGTTCACTGAGGACTGGGATAGTACCTGAAGGGTAGTTGTTGTGTTGAGTTTGGTTGTCCTCGGTCTGGACGAAGAAGGACTACCCAAAAAGGCTTAGGACTTTAGATTAGGATGCAAACTTTATAAGCTTTAGGGATTTTATAGTTAATTGATTTATTTTTTAAATGTAGGTGGATGAAATAAGTTCGGCGGTGTTAGGGTATTTATAATTCAGGGACAAAGGGATCTGCTTTTACGATCAGAAAATGCTTAGCAAGTTTTACGACGGTAGGGAGGAGTGACTTTGGAGGAAACCAGTACCTTTTTTACCCGTATATGAGAATCATTTTGGTGACATTTGATGCGGTAGTTTTTGAATAAAAGGCCTAAAACTGTTTTCAATAAAACAGCAATATCTATGAAAATATTAAATGCAAGACCCTGGAAAGTATATTGTTCTACAAAGAAATTAAATTTTGGTTTTGTTTATAAAAATGAATCGCAAAATCTGTTGGTAAGCGTATAACTGAACAACGCCTGGACCAATTTGGACAATTATTTTTTTTAAATGTTCGTTTTACTCCAAGGATAGTTTTTACGGCGAGAAAAATTTGAATAATTGCTGGGAAAACCCTAAAGACAACTCTTTTCTATAAGATAAAAGTTGGCATTGAGATTCAATCATAAATATAGTTAAATAGTTGAGTCCGAGATGGCGCGCTGAAGTGCATTATTAGCAATTCTTTATATAATTAATTTCTTTAAAAAAAATTGCGAATCTTATTGATAAAATTGACACATACTATGAGTACGTCTAGAACAAGAGAGTAAAAACGAATTACATTTTTATTAAACACTACCGGGACGAAATCATGGGCAAAAGCTAGTAATAAATTAAATATATCCCCGTTTATTTATTGTATATTTTTACAATTATTACAATTACAATTAATAATACATAAAATACATATATAAAATAAAATTTATATTTTGGGTGCTTGATACATATTTATATTTATTCATAAATCTAATAAATACTTATATAACATTTAAACAATTTATCAACAATGCTTTTCATAATCAATAATTTTATCATAATTATAATATATTAAAATTCGTTATTAGTGCATAATATGGTTAAAACAAGAAATACAAATAATTACAAATCATTAAAATAAGATATGAATGCGTTTTTAGATTTTAATATTTTCAAGAAATTTTTGGTCGTATTTTAGTTAGATTAAAAGCATATAATTAACGACTAGGGATTAATAACTAAATGCAATTAAATTTTCCACCGGAATATACTCCTTCGTGTTACTCTTGGCAATTTCCGTATTTTATTATTATTTTCGCCACAATCGCTTGCAAATCTTTATAGCCTTTCTTCGCACACCTTATTTACTTTCATTATTTATAGCTACTCTCTTCTAAATTGCCCTTAAATTCATATTTACTGCTTCTTGTTATTCGTTGTATTGAAATCTTATTAATGGTCGCCACGTGCAGTCATCAATTAGCCACCTCGTACGGTTCAAATTCCATCTCCTCGGTCTTTTTCGGTTTGATTTTAACTTTCTCGTAAAAATCATACGTCTTTGCTTTATGGTTATTGTGTGTGTACGTGATCCCGGAGTAGGTTTTGTTATCCTCGCGCATTTCACCCCACTGGATGAGTTTCTTCGCCTTCATTTCTTCGCCGATGATTTTCGGAGATTGGTTCACGCTGGTCACGTGCGTCACGTGGTTGACGTTGTTTGCGCCGTTCATGATATTGACGTTCATAGTGGCCATCAAAGGTTTATGACCATTTTCTTTTGGATGATTTAGTTTATTACCATTTGCGACTGGATGAGTATGTGCGTTGAGTTCGTTGATCATTTGGACGTTACTCTGTACATTCACTTCTTTGATAGACTCATTGATGTGATTCTTTTCGTTGATACTCTTTGTCAATGCGTTTTGCTTCTTGAGGTTATGTTCGTCTAAAATCTGCTTTTGTTTCATTATGAATTTCTTTCTGTATTCACTTAGATTCTTGGTTCCTACTAGCTCCAAACGTGAACTGCAACTGTTAGACTTAAGTAACTTAAACTTAACTCCTTGGTAGGAATTAGGTTCTTGATTTTGATTTGGTGGTGTTTCTTGGTTTACTGTTGAAACATCTCGGGTTTTATATTTGCATGCACAGTTACACTTGGGTTTCTGATTCTTTTGATTCTGAATCTCATCCATGATAGCTTTAGTCATGGCTTGTGGTTTACGTTTAGCTGTAACCCTTCCTCCATAGTAGGTTACAGATGTTCCGCATTCTCTGATTTTTTCTAGGATGTCTTCGCTTACATATTCACAACATACATCTGCTTCCTCATCATATTCATCATTTTCATCACATTCTGACATGTTGGAACTACCATCAGATGCTGAGCATCTATCTTTATCAGGATCTACAGGTCTGATGTACTGTACAGTTTGTTTGGTCAAAGCGTCTAGATGTTTAGAGCTTTGGGACCTAGGCATTTGACCTTCAAACATTTGCCTTACTTGTTTTACTGTATCAGGGTTAGGGAGTTCATCATCGTTGACTTCTCGGTTTACCCTGATTGGGTGATAGAAGAAGTGTTTCCTAAGACCAACACTTTCTATGTTTGATGGGGGTTTACCAGGAGTTCTGATGAATTTGGTCACTTTGTTTGTGTGATGTGCATTGTTAGATCCCACATATTGAATATTGGTTCTAATTGGTTCAATGATAACAATGTTGTTATCGATTAATAACTCTTGGAAGGAATAATCTTGTAAATATTGCATTAGGCCATCAAACTGTGATTCCTTGTCACATTTAGCGAAAATCTTCTTTTGGAATAAATCAGATTTTACTACTCTGTAACGGATATGATCAAATTCTGGTTCAATGGATTTTGATTTCTTTACAGCTGATTTTTCTTTTTCTTTACACTGATTTGCATCATTTGTTTCTTTTACCGTTTTAATATCTTTTTCCACTTTAGCAGCTGTTGGTATTGGAAGAGGATCATCATTCCTTACAATAATTTCCTCATATTTATCATCCTGTTCTATCAATTCCAGAGTGTTGGGGTTTAAGCTTTCAAATTGGTTATCAAAGTAGGGATTCTCAAGTAGTCCTTGTTTGTTTGTGGCTTTTTGGAGTTGTGCATCATTATTCTCGAAAAATTGCTTAGTCATCTGAACCCTTGATGGGGCTTTAGCTTCCGCATCAGATTCCTTCTTTTCATTGGGATCTGCTTCAAACTTCTTTTTGACTTCTTCGATTTTTGTTTGCATTCCGACTATTTTACATTTACCACGTTCTTTGGTCACGTCTTTAATGGGATCTTGCTTTTCTTCTTTTTGAGCAGCTTGAATCATTGATTCTTTTTCTTTTGGATCTTTACCAACCATACTCCCCCAGTAATTCCTCATGGTGTTGATTTTTGATTGGAATTCTTTATTTAACGTTCCATTGTTTATGTTAGACATTTTGGTATCTTCAATGAGTACCTCAACTTCTTTATCACGTTGAAATAATTCGTTAGTGTTGATTTCTTCTCCGTTTACAATAACTTTAGGATTTTTCTGTACCTCACCTTTAACACCGTTCAGTGTTTGATTTAATGTTTTCACTGCTTCAATAAAGTTCTTATCAGATTTATTCTTTTTAGCTTTGGGTATTTTCGAAATTTTAAGTTCAAAATCCACCGGAATGGAACTCCTTGCTGTAACGTCAAAATGATTACCAATATTAACTATGAACCGATTGGTAGACACGTCTGACGGGGATTTCTGAAGTTTTTCACACTTACGAAGTTTGCGATCGATCTTCTCGCACTTTTGCAAGTTCTTGCTCACGGTAATATCAGGCAATGAAAAGTATTGATTTTCAATTAAGTTGGTATTCTTCTTTCCGGATTTGATAACGTCTCCAACCGTAGTATCCTGGGTCGAATTAAAAGCTCTTGAAATTCGCTTACTCAAAAAGTTTTGCAAAGGCTTCTTGGAACCTTTCTGCGTCTCCAAAAATTCTTTAAGATAATTATGACTGTGTTTCTTTGCTTCCTTGACGTCGTCTTCGTCACTGGACGGCTTCTGTTGTTCGGGAACACTCACAACTGTTTTATAATCATCTGGTCGGTATTCCTCTTCAGCTTCTTCCTGCGGTGGGACTTGGATGCTTGTCTTGATCAAATCTTTGTCGGCAGCGAGCGCGGGAATTTCATCATATATAGGATTCGCTTCTATATTAGAGAATTCCGACTTGGACTCACTCTCCTCGTATGTGGTCCGCTCCTGATAATGATTCTGCTGCTGTTGTTGTTGCTGCTGTTGTTGTTGATAATGCGAATAGACTTGGGGTTCACCGCTGTAGTATACAGACTCTTCTTTTTCAGGACGTAGTTCTTGAATGATGGGTTCCTCTTCAATGTGTTGCGGTTGTTCCCTTTGTTGATGATTGGGCCTGGCCTCGTTGTTACTATCCGAACTGGTTCGCTCAACCGGTTCGTAGTATTTGGGGTCGTAATCGGACAAAGTTGAATCAGACTCGTAACCGTTGCTAGCACCAGCGAAATTTGGTAGACTACGTGGTTTCACATACGTTTCCGGTTCGGGATTATAATACGGGGTGTTACCTCTAATGGTACGTGGTTTACTCTGATGGTAATGCTCTTCTACTTTATCATAAAGTTGTGTTTTACTCAAAACAATATTCTCATCATAGGAAATATTGGTGCTTTCCGGATATAAAGAAGACTGACGATATTTAGAATCTCGTGTGAAGTTACCAACTGATACGTTGTCAGTGAACGAATGATCCGTGTCACATTTACTATCGGGGTAATAGTTTGGAAGGCTTAAACCACTGTCTTCCGTGTGGTGTTGCTGGTGGTGGTTGTTGTGGTGAGACGATACTTGTTGAGGTTGCGGCTTGTAGTTGGCAGCGTCGTGTTCCAGACTATCAATATCCGTTGTGGAATGTCTCAGGTGTCCAACCGAGGGTAAATATTGTGAAGATGACACGTCTTCGCGGTACTTAAACCCCGGTTGCTGTTGTGGAACAGCGTACTCTAATGGACCACGTGTCAATACACTCAAAGTACTGTGATCTGTATACAAGCTCTCGTGGCTTATGCCTCTCTGAAGGGAACTCCTTGAAGAGCTGAAATTTTTATATTATTTTAGATGCTTTTCAGAGAAAATAAATAAATAGTAAAATTATTGCTTACTTGTTGCAACGATCAATCAATTTTGCTCTTGGTATCAACTGTGATCTCCTTCGGGCGCGCGTCGGATTCGGGATGTCAAGATTAGTAAAAATATCCTCTCTGGATATAGCTAAACTGCGACTTCTTCTGAGCGTGGATTCGGTGGGTTTGTGGTCGCCGAGCGGATTTGAGGAAACGTTCTCTAAACTGCCTTGCAGTAACTTTTGGCGGTGGCGTTTGGTGTAGGTTTGATCTTTACGCCGCGAATGATGGCTGACTTGATGGTGGAGTAACGAGTGGTGGTTGCGATGGTCTTTTAGTGATGCGCGGTGGTTCAGGGCGTTCTCGCGGTCTAACCTACGAAAATAAAATAAATGTAAAATAATGTTGAATGTTTTGCGGAATACAATATTGATTTTGTGTTTTTTGTTGCAGGTGAGTTTTGGCTTCAGCGGTTACAGATGCCAGAATGTCTGCAAAGTTTTGGAGGTTGTTAATCACAGCCAGAAGCAAGTAATACGAGGTGGAGGAAAGGAAAAGTACGGTAGAATAATATTTTAACATTTAGGATTTGTTTTGGTGTTGGTTGGTGACGGGAACTTTCAAAACATTTTAAATTTATATATTTATCTATTTACATAAGAATATGAGAATTTATGTATGTATGTTCCTCATTAACACCATAACGACTGGATAGATTTTGATGAAAATTTCTGACAATCTTTAGATTAGTGTGGCGGTGAATCATGTAAAGTTTGGTAGCAAAATTATGCCTTGAAGGAGGCAAAATAAGGGATAATTCAAGTTGAGATGGCGTTAAAGTACATGATTTACATTTGTACCTTTTATATAAGAGAGATTTTATCATTTTTTAAATAGAAACTATAGTTTTATTAATGGATTTTGCGCATATTAAGCACAAAAATCAACTGAGTAATAATATAAGCTTTTTTAATCAAAATTTCCACAAACGAAGTCGCGGGCAAAAGATAATTTTTCCATAGAATATTGTTTCCAAATAAATGTCGATAGTTTTTAAATGAATGATTGCACCATAAATTTCTTATTTGTTTGGAGCTTTACTTTCAAGTTTGCTCACTTGATGAGAATTCTGTGAAACCTCAAGCAAACAGTATTGCAATTTTATTACAGCGCATTCACAATCATAAATTTTTAATATTGACTCTTTTTCTCTCTTCTCCCGGAAATATAAAATCGAGAATATTTTATGCAAATATCATTTAACATTTAATATTTAATAATTCAGTTCCTAGTGTCACATTCGCATTACAAAATTTACATTTGAGCGCATCGTCTCATGCAGTACTTTCACATCGTGCATACACACGTGTTCCGATTGTGCGCATAATAATCTTAAAACACATATTTTTTATGCAATCGATTACTTCATTGCGTTGCAACTTTCCATTGTGCAAATGAACGCCAATTCACACACAACTTCTCCTCTTCACTCATCCGTGAATCACTTTGCCAATCACTTTGGATTTTGTCTCGACTTGCAGCAATTTCATTTAATTTACTGCAATCGCATGCAACTTTATTACCACGGTGTCACGTTCATTTAATTACGTTATTTATACGTTTAATTTATACCTAAATATTGCTACCTATGTGTTATGGACGACGTAATTAAAAGGGAAAATAAATGACGAATCGTGAATTCTAATTGCGTTAAACGCGCCAGCGCATAATTCGCACGTCCCAGTAAATTGAATTAGCGCTTAATTAACACACAATCAAAAGTTACACTTGACTCGCGGTCGCGAGGATTTTCAACGATTGTGTTATAAAGTATAGATTCGAATGAGTGCGGCGGCGTCATGAACTTTGTTTGCATTTCGTACAGAGAATAAATTATCATATTTATCACGCAATTTGTGTGCTTCTGCGTACATTTTTTACATGAAAATAATTTTATATGGAAATAAATCTGGCACAAGGACCATTTGATCATCCGGCGTCGTGTTTTGCTATTTATTTGTTTTGGTAATTGAATCAGAGTAAAATTTACAAGTTACATAAATGTTATTTCATGGAAGTTTCCTTGAAAAGTTTTAAGTTTTAAGATTTTAAGATTTAATTTTATACTTTTCTGAATTTTTTGTCTATTCCATTAAAAAAAGGAAATGAAACCTTTAGTAAAAGCACGGAAATTAATTCCCCGGTTGTTGCATTTGTTCCCTTCATTGCGCTTAGTAACCGAGCAAGAAATCTTGTCATCGTGGTGAAATAAGCCGCATTGAAGTCAAAGTCCTTCTCGTTTTTTTCAAATTAAAAAAGTGTACTAATTCACAGACGCGGCAGGAAGAACGAGACACAACCTGGTCTTAGCGAAATTATTTTTGCAAGATATTAATTCCAAGAAATTGCCAACCTTGCGAGATTTAGGTTATTCTCCACGGAAAAATCTTTATTCGGCCATGTTCAGCTTGATGAGCAACTCAACTCTTTTTTTTTGTTCTCTTTCTTCTTTTTACTTCACTTTACTTCATTTGTTATAACAAGGACTTAGATGTTAAATGTTCGGCGAAGGTCGAATAAATGAGGCAGGAAAAGGACGCAGTTATGTTTGCGCGTGCGTCGCGACAGCACAAGTCGGAATCGCAAAGTGAAAAGGGAACGTAGACTGAAGCGTTAGTCTCAAAGAAACTCGTGACAAGAAAGAGCTTTACAATTTATTGATGCTACAGAGACAAATTTAGAATTTCATGGAGTAAATTGCTTGTTGGACTTGTCAAGGACATTGCTTTTAGCCGTTTACTTAGATTCGGAACAATTTAATGTTGATTTTGTACAAGAAATCGTCACGAATGATTAAATTCTGTTGCTAGGCTATTATGCAAAGTAAACCAGAGTAAATGCAATTTATACACACAAAAATATTTTACTAAAGTTACAAAAGTAAACTAAACTAAACTAAATTATCGTTTATAAATTTATATTACAGGATATTTAGTTTATCTTTCAGTGAATGTGCAATGAATTAAAATGTTGGAAATGTGGCAACTTCCATCTCTCTCGCTATTTACATCTATTAAAAGTTATTAAAAACACCTCGCGCGCGCACGGGTACAATTTATACCCGCCGGAAATGCGGAATACGTGTCGGCGCGCACGGAAATTCAATCTCTTCAATCTCGCCCCTCAACTTTTCCAATTTCGACTTCCGGCTCTGAGCTGCGAATGTCGAAGCGGTGCGAATGAGGGATGAGAATATGAACATGTGGCATAACTCATTCGGAGAGCTACATTTGGGCATATTTTCTACTGTGGCGCTGAAAGGGTTCACAACCCTTGTTATCACACCAATTTAGGAAATTATTAAGATTTATTACTCAATTTCATTGCCCTATATTTTTTATTTTAACAGGAACGTTAAAAATTGAATTTTAACAAAATTTTTGATTTTTTTTTAAATTTTACGTTTTTTAACATTCAGTATTTGATTTCGGGAAACTTCAAATACTCGTTTTTCAACTTTTAGCTTTGAACGTTACACACCACACACCATATCTTGATATCCTAATATTCACTAAGAGCATTTCCGAGTGTAAACCGCCGGAATTTTCAATTTCCACGTTTTATTGACTTCTCCAATTTCGTTTGAACTTTTTATTCTACTTTTAGTATTTACATTGAAATGAAAACTTTATTTAGCGTAATATTTGATTTTGATTTATTAATTAAATGCATGATATTTTCAAAGTTTATGACGTGTTTTTGAAATTATTCATTGTGGATTTTCATATTTTCACCGCACGTCATATTAAAGCCTACTTATTATTCATTAAATTTTTTCTTGTGATTTTTTATTGCCGCTGAAACTTTTAAGCGTGTACTTGAGTTATTTTCGCAATAAATATACAAATTGTGAAATTTGTTTCATATTACCACATTACAAGCTGATTTTTGTGTCTTTTGTCATTTTTATTGAATAAACCAGGCATAATTTGAAATTTAGTCGTGTCTAATTTGTCCAAGACTCGATTATATTCTTACATAATAGCAAAAGTTGCGATAGTTTTGAACATCCGACCAATTTTCTAGCAAACTTTATCCCATTAGCGACGGATTAATGTCATAACTTGTAATTTAATTCCTTTTGCGTTGCATATTTTCCAATTTTCTGATTTCATGCCATTGATGACACTGTGAAGTTTGTTCTTGTGGCTAATTTTGTTAGAATGGTTTTAGGTATGTTATAATTTTATACTTGCTGGAATAATGTCATAACAATACACTTATTGAACATTTGACGTAGTTATGGTGTTGGTCATTAGTGTCGCAAGATGGTGTTGATGTTGATGCGCGGAACATCAGCGCGTAAACACGATTACGCATTTTAATTGCTCGTTAAATTTATGTCAACAAAATTGAGTCGCAGCTGTGCGCCACCACTGGCATTAATCATAATAAATGTTCTTATGGACTTAATAAAGGTGGAGGGTAATAAAATT